TGGATGGAAAACCTCGAAAAACAAATCGAAATAAAAGTATGCAAGCAAAAACCTTGACTGTGAAGCGTCTCCCGAAGACGGGATCGATACGTATTTCGTCTTCCCGTTCTGAGTTGCAACTTTCNGATTTTTCAAAATAATTCCTACAATGTTGATAAGCAGTAGCAAAATATGTGCAATCATACAAATGGAGAAGAGTGCATCACTGAATTAGATAATTACAAGTTCCAGAACGATGTGGGTGGAAAACCTCGAAAAACAAATCGAAATAAAAGTATGCCAGCAAGAACCTTGACTGTGAAGCGTCTCCCGAAGACGGGATCGATACGTATTTCGTCTTCCCGTTCTGAGTTGCAACTTTCATTCTCCCCAGTAGCGCTGGCGTTGGTTCAAGTTTCAATTCCTACAAATCACATCGATAAAAGGTCAATACCCTGCAATGAGACATCCTCATGACCGATCTATTTAAACCAGCGATTCTCATACTCTACCACTCCGCACCGTCATTTGGACATGTGATAGTCTGTATCCTTCCCTCTAACAATATACATAACCGCTATTCAAAAATGTGTTGGTAGTATCAACGAATCACTTTTACACGATCAAATACCCATTTTGAAAATATTAATGAACAAATTTCAAAAAAAGAAAACGACCAAAGATGATTTGCCAATTCGTGACAAGAAAATGAATGCACAAAATCACTTCAATAAAGATGAAAGGACGAACCTTAATAGGATATCCATTAAACTGTAATTGTTAACATTGAATTCATAAAAAACGAATAAGAACAAAGCAAAACCTTTCCGCTCGCTTGCAACCACCGTTCAGCTTTGTCCGATAATGACATGGTGTATGCGAAATCATTGTATTTACTTTTTTGCTCATGAAAATAACCACTCAATCGAAGGATGCGACCAAGTTCTTTCCAAAATACTTCAGTTTTCTTTGTGCCAGCCCCATATAACGAATGCTTCTGTTTCGATTCATAAACGTTTGCTTTCTAAAGAATTGCAGACAAATTGAATGCAATATTGCTATCTCAGCAATAACATGATTGTTCTTAAACATAATTAAATCTGAATAGATGAATGAAAAATGAAATTAAAATGTTAAAATCCAACAATTAACTAACTCCTTTAATGAAATCGATAACTTTGCCCAGTCCAGACTTACCACCGAAGACCTCAACAGAACGCAGAAGTATTTCTGCTTCGTCGGTATAATCTACTAATGTAATATTTTTGTTCGTGTCATTTTCCGATTCAGTATTTTTATCACAGATATCACAACAACCTGCTTGGGGCGTCAGATTCCTCTTTAGTGATGGATCGAAATGAGATAGCAATGAGCTGCAATAAACTCATGGATGAATATGAGTGAAATGAAAAAAGTGATGAGTTTGGTGAACAGATCAATAAATGTTTGCAAGTATGTGAAAACGATATCAAGTGCATTAAGTTTTTAGAATTTCTCATTTGACTAAACCAATTGGAATATTAAAACTTTATAAACGAACCACGTTTTTTGAAGACGTGTCAATTTTTCGAGTTGAATGAGTGATTAAAATTTCAGCAGATATTACGCAGACAATGAAGGAACATAATCAAAAGCGAGCAGCGGTAAATTACGTGCTTTTAAATCTACATCTGGTGGACGGTTCAGCTCAGACCTACTGAAAAAAGAAAGAATGGATCAATATAAACATGAACTGACAATCGTCGGCAGGTGTTCCCGGTAAGATAAGTTTCCATGTGACGTTGCATTTCAACGGCATGTGTTTTGTACGGCTCTTTCAGTGAATTATCTCTCATCAAACGACCCTTAAATTCCAAACTGATATTTTTTCAATTATCTTGCTTTGAGATTCAAGCAAAAATTGAGTGCTGTTGACAACTTGGACATAAAAAGACGAAACAAGGATTCATCAGTTATGGATAAAACAGTAAATTTGAGTTGAACGATCTTCGGTATGATCAGATTATATTAGGATTATTCGCATGAAATAAGCACTGAAATCCGAACATTCAATAAATGTCTTATGTTTTTTATCTCTAAATCATGAAAGTCATTTACACAACTTATCTATTCGTAGCAATTTCGCCGTCAGTGTAGAAAACGATGCATTTGCTCGGAAATCCATCACGACCAGCACGACCAATCTCTTGATAATAACTTTCGATGCCTCTAGGTGCTGCAAATCTTACGATAACTCAGAGTAAGACTGCTATGAATGTTATTCGAATTGAAGAACAACGAATACGAAGCACGTATCAGGTGAACGAAACAAATCCAGGTTGATATGAATTGAAACGACTATTAAAATATCAAAAACCTTGTCGCATTATATCTCTTCCAGCAATGATGCACATTCCACTCTAACCAAAGATAAACAAATAACCCACCTCCATAATGGATGACATAACGAACATCAGCCTTATCAATGCCCATGCCAAATGCGACTGTAGCAACAATCGTTGTCACTTTATCCTTCATGAAATTTTCATGTGCTTTTGCTCGCACTTTTGGTGACAGACCAGCATGGTACATTGCGCATTTAACACCGAATCCTTCAAAAAAAAA